TCAGAGTCCCACGTCCCACCATTCAGCCAGTGTGTCTTGAACACATACCCCACTGGAAGGGCGGGAGAACCAGGCTAAGGAGGATGAGTAAGTTGTGGACTTTGCTCTCAAGGAGTCTCAGACCAGCACAAGGATAAGATAAGTGCACAGAGCTCCTTAACTCTGCACAGAATGAGATAAGGGTGGCGGGAGAGGCCCACACAGGAGAATCATGGGAGGGCCCTCGGGGAGGAGTGTCTGAGCTGGGCCTCAGCAGGGGTAGGTGGGGGCCCAGGGATCTGGAGAAGCCAGGACAATGAGCAAAGCCCCGCATAGGAAGGGGCAAGGGACAGTGTCTTAGGGACCAGAGTATGGGGCCAGATGTTTGTCGGCCACATAGCGTCCTCAGAGGGAGAAGGTCCAGCAACTTGCTCTGTGACTTTAGCAAATGCTCACCTTTTCCCAGCTCGTGTTCTCATCTCACAAACAGGTTCACGACATTTATTCTGCGAGGTTGCCAGGAGGATCCCAGGTGATGTACACAAGTGTCCAGCACACAGAGAGCTCAGTAACCCACTCCTGTTATTATGCAATTCGGACTTTATTCCTAGATCTGTGTTTCCCACTAAAAAAAAAATTTTAGCAGCAGAAAACTTTTTATTCAAATAAAAATTTCCCCAGAATCCCATGATATAAGAATTAGTGGAGAGTGAGGCTGTTGCCGGACGTTGGGACAGGGAAAATGTCGGCAGCCCTGTCTACTCGGCTGCTCCCCCCACTATCACCACAGGGGGCCCCTGGTCCCTCTTTAGAATCCCAGAGGCTGGAGAAGCCGCTCCATAGCTGGGCCAGGGCTGAGCTTCAGGGAAATGAGACTGGAGAGAGGGGGGAGGGGCAAATTGAGAGGGAGGCTGGCTCGGGGTCCCTTTCCTTGGTCAGGGGCTCTAGCACAAAGACTGGGACCCTGAGCACTTGGCCACACCGAATGCCGGTGGGTGCTTCCTTGGAGTGCAAGGCAGAGGCTCAGGATCTGTTCAACAAACCCTTACTGAGCACACTCCTGGGCTCAGTCTGGGCTGGGGGCTGAGATGGTGCGGAGGACAGAAACACAAGCACAAAATAGCAACGGGGCTTGGGAGTGCTGTGCTCAGGGGAAGCACAGGGGGCTGGTGGTGCCCAGGTAGGCACTTAGGATCAAGTGGGCTTTAAGAAGGCTTCCTGGAGGCAGAAGATGCTCGGGTAGAGCTTGAATGGTTAGTAAGAGTGAATCTGGCAAAAAAGCCGGGAAGGGTGTTCCTGGCAGAGGGAACAGCATGGGCAAAGCACAGAGGCATAGCACAGGGCAGGCGGCATAGGTGGGGAACTAAAGCAGTTCAGGCTCACCAGAGGGGAAATGGGAAGGTGGGAATGAGACAGAGGGAGTTGGGGCCTTGAGTGCTGCACTGGGGTTGCAAGGTTCTTGTTGACCCCTGGACACCCCAAGCCCCACCCCTGCCCCCGCAGGTCCTGGCGGCTGGCATTGAGGCGAACATACCTGTGACCTATGGAATTGGCAGCCAGAGGGGTGACGAGAGCACTGGCTGTCAATTCATAGGTCAGAGCCCTGTGCACTCGGTCTTGGTAGCCCGCCGACAGCCCCCCTCCACCTTGCCATCCTGGGCCTGGGAGCATTGCCATGGAGGTCCCTGCTGGTCTGCCAGGTAGTGGCTGTCTCTCCTTCTCCATGGGTACTGGCCCCCACCCCAGATAACAGCAGCCCCACTGGAATCAGTGGGCACTTCCACATGGAGTTGCTGTTACAGGGGGTGGGAGCCATCTGGAGGCCTGAGCCCTGCCTGCCTGGCATTTCCCCTTGGGCAGGGTTTGGGGAAATACCCCATGCCCGCCCACCCAGGCCCCCTGGCTCCTCCTGGGCCCAGGCCCATGGTCTTTTTATTGAAGCTCCTTATCATTCAGGGCCCACACCTGGCACCCTGTGCGATACCAGCACCCCTTCCCGGGCGAAGTCCAGGGTCAGCCCCAAGTCTGCCTCATAAAGCCGGGAGTGGCTCCGATTTACAATTGCTGGGCAGCCTTTGCCCACTCTAACATCCCCACACCCTCTGTCCCCAAGTTCTTTTGTTTCCTTGTTTCTTTCCCAACCAGAGCTGGGCCCCCGGCTCAAGTTTGGCCACCGTGTCCTCTGCCCTCTGCCCTTTGCCCACCTCCCTGCTGCAGCCACGGGGTAGAAGGACAGCAAGGGAGGCACAGCTGGGCTTCTGTCAGTCTCCAAGGACCTCCAACGCCCAATTTCATGAGGATGGCCCCATACAGAAAGCTGGAGACAAGACAGAGAGAGAGAAGAGCAGGCGGCAGAGGGGAGCCAGAGAAAGAGAAAGTGAGGCGGAGGGACCAAAAAGAAAAAGGAGAGGTGGGCGGAGTACTGAGAGATCGGAGAAAACAGGGACAGGGAAGTGTCGTGGTCGGGGAGAAAGGGGTTAACAGGGAACTTGAAAAGATGCTGATACACAAACCTGCGGGCAGTGTAAGAACAGGGCCATGAGCAGCCGCGCCCCTGGAAGAACACAGTACCCAGCGGTCCGAGAGCCAGCAGGGGCCTGGGAGCTGGGTGACCTCGAGCAAGAAGCTTAATCTCCCTGAGCCCCTGCTGGTTTGTCATATGCAAACCAGGGCTTGTGAGGCCATCCTGCACACTGGCCTGGACTAACAGGAAGCTGCCCACCCTTCTGCTTTTGGGTCTGTCCCTGCTGTGGGGAGAGAAAAGAGCTGCTGACCAGGATCCCTGAGCTGGCCCGGGGCTCCCGGGGACAGACCTTTCTCCTGCAAAGTGTGTGCTCATCCCTTCCCAGACAGTTTCTGGCTCAAGAGGCTTCAGTGACAGGTGCCAGTGCCAGTCCTGCCGAGACCCAGTGGGCATTTCGAGAGACTCCAAAGTTTCTGTAGAGAAAAGGGAACTTTTAGAGTGGACTTGGGCCATGCCACCCTTTGCCAGAGGCGGAAACAGGCCCAGAGAGTCAGAGGAGGCTATCCAAGGTCACAGAGCAAGGCCTCAGGGCCGTGCTGGCCTGGCAGCCTCTCTGAAGTGGCCTCCTTTCTCTTGGAATGTAGTCAAGGTGGGATGGGGGATCCCCAGGCAGGGATCCTTCTGCCTGGGAGGATGGGCTGCCGAAAAAGATACCACCGGTGACCGGCTCCCCACCCCCACTTCTAGGCCCAGCAGCCCTTCCCAGAAGCCTGGGCAAGACTAGCCTCCTGCTGTGAGGGGTCTAAGTGCCCTGGCGTGGCAGAGGCAGTGCTCAATCCAGAGTCCTGGCACCACAGAACTAGGCAGCTCTGAGATCTAATGCTGTTTCTCCCATCTCACAGATGGAAATTGAGGTACAGAGTAGGAGGGTCTTGCCCAGGCCCCCAGTGACTGCACAGGTCCCTTCCTCTTACTCAGAAAGGCTGGTGACCCTGCAGAAAGGTGCCTGGGCTCAGGAGCACCATGGGGCAGAGGGGTTGTGGGGGTCCGACGGCCCAGGAAGTTTCTTACCTGGCTGCCTGGCTGGCCCTCGGGGCACAAGGAGGAAGTGGGGACGCCCTGAGCCCAGCGCCTTTTGAGCTTGTTGGCCCAGCCCCTGGCAGCAGTTAATGATTATCCCACCACCATCAATATGGATCACAAGTGCGGTTCGAAGGGCAGGAAACCCTGGACTGTGCCCTGGCAGGGTGGGGCAGGCCCAGGAAGCATCAGGCTGGGCCCCTGTCTGCCAGTCCTGGTGGCAGCAGACCCTAGCCATCTGCAGCCCAATCACCCTCCGGGCCTCACCCCCCCAACCTCCTGCTTGGCCTCTGCCCCAGGTGGCCATAGGCAGCCAGGACCTCAGGGTACCCCAGGACAAAGCTTCTGTGCTGTCATGCTGCCCAGATCTTCCCCAGTGAGGGGCGCAGGGGCCACAAAGAGGGAGCTGGTGCGGGGTAGTGGTCTTTGCTAGCCCAAGAAGTCTGCAGATAAGCCCAGAAAGATGACGGTTCTCTAGCTCCGTGACTCCTAACCTGAACCTTAGTTTCCCCACGGGCCCACCCACCTCTGTAGGGAGCTGGGGAGCGGGGTGGGGAAGGGCATGGGAGCAGCTTCTTTTTTGTTCACAAGAAACAATGTGTATGTATCGGGGGGACAGTAGGCATTTTCCTGATTTCATGTTAAGTTACGTGCACGTGTCTGTCAGGACCATTCTAACCACAGCGCTGCCCCAGCACCCCTCACACTCCAAGGTCTGAAGCTGGGACCCCAGAGCAGAGAGCCAGTCACTCCAAAAGCCTTGTATTAGAGATGGTGGGAGCAGCCTCCAGAGGGCCCAGGGCTTGGCCTTGCAGGAGTGACATGCCTGGTCCCTGTCAGCTAGGCAAGGACCACCAGAAGGGACTAGAGGCTCAGAGACCCAGGACGTAGCCTCAGGTCACACAGTCAGGGCCTGTGCCTTCTTGGCATCCCCTACAGCCCCACCATTTGCTCTGGTCCCAAAGTGAGGCTGGACTGGTGTGGGAGGGTGTGGAGACCCCTGGTGGTGACACGGGAAGTGCTGGGTGCAGAGGTGGGATCTGGGCAGGAGCCAAGGTCAAAGCTGAGGTCAGGGCTTACAGGGGCTGTACAGGTATGTAGGACCCAAGAGAGGGGCTTGCGGTGGGCACAGTTTATTCCACTTCATGCAGACACTGACCCACACGCCCAAGGAGCTTAAAAATATTACATTGAACCACACGGTGTCTGTCCTCCCACCTCCCCCCAAGATATAGAAAGACACTTGGCTGAGTGGGGTCAGGGTCCGAGGGTCCGAAAGCCTCCGTCCTGGGACAAGGCAGCAGTGTGGGCCCAGGTGGCAGGGAAAGGCCGTGTCCTTTCTCCCCAGAGGAAAAGTGCAGAGACAGGGCCAAAGCCCCAAGGCAGGGAGGCTGCACCCCCACAGCAGACAGGCAGCAGGCAGGCCACCAGGTGTCCTTCACAGTGGCCATCCCCTGAAGGGCCCAGACCTGGTCCAGCTGTGGGTTGCAACTCTTGGGAGGCTTGGGAGCCTGTGGCACCATGGGGGCTGACTGGGGCACGGTGGGCAGCGCCTCCTTGGGTCCTGGGTGCCCTGTGCTCAGTCCTGGGCCTCCTCTGAGCGCCACTTGAGAGCATGGTCCTTGTGGGCATCGGGGAGGATCTGGTTGCGCATGCCCCCAAGCAGGTTGGATGTGGCTTCTGTGGCTAGGATGAGTGGCTTCACCACTGTTGGGGGCAGCTGGCGGATCACACCCCCCACAGCGCCTGTCAGCCCCTTCTGCTCATGGCCCCGAGATGCCACATCACAGATGGTCTGAGCTGTGTCCAGGATGCCCTGTGGAGGACAGAGATCAGTACAGGGGTCTGAGGGAGGAGGTGGGTGTGGCGTAACCAGGAGCAGGGCAGGGGCCTTATCACCTCTCGAACCGTGTCATAGGCCTTGGCCACACCCTCCCGGAGGTCAGCGGGCTGCTGGCCCTTGCGCAGCTTCCGCGCGGAGCGCTTGTCCTGCAGGGAGCGGGAGACGGGCGCTGCTGGGGACAGGATGTCATAGACCGTCTCGGCTGTGGCCTGAAAGACACAGGAGCACTGGATGAGGAGAGCTGGCCCCTAGGCTCCCCTGGCCAGCCCGGGGACCCCGCCATCCCTCAGCCCCACCCACCACCAGCCTTCAGCTGTGCTGTGCGTGGGCTCTTGCTCAGCCTCGTCTCGCCACCCTCCTTCCGTTCCTCCACTCCTTCCATGGCTCCCACCACCCACCCTTGGAATTTCAGGAGGAGCCTATGACTCTCGAAGGGACTATCCTAATGTCCTCTCAAACCCAAACCTTTCTTCCTGCTGACCACCACATCGAGGCAGGCTCCCCACGGGTGCCACAAATGCAGCTTGCCCAAGGCTGACCGACTGCCTTCCCGATCCCACTCCTCGCCTGGCTTCCCTGGCTCCAGGGGAAGGCCCCGGGGAGACCTGGGTTCCCTGTCACTCACCCCCACGGACCATCGGCAAGCCCATCACCGAGTGTGAGCTTCCTCTGCCCACCAGCACCTCTTCTCTCTGTCCCACATCACTCACCAGCATCATTCTTTCCCACCTAACTTAACACCCTCGGGGCACTCTCTGGTGCTTGCCGACCCTGCCAGACTCCTCCCTTGAGACCCTGCCCTCTGCCCCCCTGGGGTCAGAGCTTGCAGGTCCCAGAATGCACCAAGCTGCACACCCCTGCCTGCTATGACCATCCTGTCCCTACCACGGAATTCCTTGCACTGACCACAGCTGCTCACAGGACTGACTCCCTCACTTAGCTGCCCAGCCTCCCATGGGATCCCTCTGGGCCTATCCTAGCAGAGTATATGGCCTGAATGAACCAGGGCCAGTCTCTGAGCCTCAACCATCCCTCCCTTCCTCCTTTTCAAGACATGTCATGACCACGGAGACACAGTGGGCTCACAGGCCTGGGAGGCACTCACCCTCCTATAGGGGAGCCACTGTAGGGGACCTGTCCTCCCCTCCCTATGGCTGTTTCTCTATAAAATGAGGCCGTGACGCCCAGATTGCCCACTCACTGTAGAGCTTTGAGGACAGAACTGGGTGCTGTGTGGCCCCTCCCTGTCCCGCACGGCCCACACAGGGCGCCCACTTACCTGGATCGCCTGCACCAGCCGGTTGCTAAGTTCCAGGGCAGCAGAGGCAGTGGATGAGCCGAAGGAGGCGGCGCCTCGCTGCAGCCCCCGCATGAGGCGCCCGTCCTTCCTGTACTGCTCGATGGGCAGCCACAGCAGGTCCCGGAACCCTTGGACTGGGGGACAGGGTTGTTAAGAGATGCCTGAGGCTCCCCTGCCCTGCTTGAGGACCTCCCCCTCCTGTTCCCAGTGGCAGCTGGTAGGCCACACAAGAGGAACAGCAGTTTCAAGAGCGCCCAAACCCAGACACTCACAGAGCTGCACAACCGAGTGCATGGGGCCCACGCCTCCCAGCAGGCCGGGCAGCTGATTCTTGCGGATGTCCTGCAGCCACTCATTGAGAGCATAGCCCAGCACCTTGTCCACACCCAGGAGCCTGGAAAGCGAAGGGAAGAGGGAAAGGTGGGAGAGAGCCACACACTGAAAGAACATGGGGCCAGGAGGACCGAGTACCCCTGTGGCAAGTAGTGTGGCGCCCCAACCCTCCCTGTGGCCCGACCCAGCCATGTGAGGAACGACTGTGCCCATTTTACAGAGGAGGAACTGAGACCCTGAGAGGGGTGAGGACTTGGCCAAGGCCACACAGCCAGTCAGGAACAGAGCAAAGGGGAGACGGGAGGCCCCGGTGAGAGGCTGAGGGTGCTGGGGGCTCACCCGTGCCGGCAACACAGCCGCTTTAGCTTCAGCTCGGAGCAGTTGAGCTGGGCCAGGCCAATGAGGAGGCCAGCGAAAGTGCCCTGGGAGAGGGAGGGGGCTCAGAGTTACATACATGATGAGACACGGGAACTGGGCAGCCCACGGGAGCCACCGGAGACCAACTCAGCAGCAGCTGGTGTCCGGATGCAAGCCCTGGCCCCAGAGAGACTTGGCCATAGCTAAGCAGAACGGGGACCCCAGAGTCTAGCCCACATGGCCACCCTGCCTGATGGCCCCACTCACCACCTGGTGCATGGTGACGTGCTTGCCGTGATAATCCAGCCAGATGGGTACCTCAGACGTGAAGCGGAACTCCCTGGGTGGGGGAGTGGGAGAGGGGCCCTTTGGTCACTGACCTGGCGGCCTGTAGTCTGGCCAGGGCCCCAGCCTGCAGCCCTACCTGAAGTAGATGGGCTGCTGCTCAGAGGAGGAGCTGTGTCCACCGCCTGGCGCCTCCTGCCAGCCAGCGGTCTCTGTGACCTCAGGCTGCTCTTCCTGGGCGCTGCTGGGCTGGACTCGGGTCTTGGGGCGAGCTGGGGAGGGAGGTCACAGACTGGGGATGGGGCCAGGGATAGCTGGGACTCTGGGCTGTCCTGGGAGGCAGGAGGCCTGGACCCTCCCCTCTCTGGCCCAGCCTCTCACCCTCAGCAGAAGTCTCCCCTGGGACCACGGGGTTGATGCCAGCCGCTAGGCTGGTGAAAAAGTCCTTGAGGAAGAAGAGGGCATCCTGTAGGGGAAGATTCAGGGAGCAGGTCAAACTCAGAGGGGTTTGGAGACGATGGGGGTCATCTTGGGCTCTGCCCTCGCATGGCCCACTCACCTGGTCCACATTGAGCCGCAGAGGCATCAGTGAGACACGGAGACAGCACTCAGGCCCGGCCAGGCTGGTGGTAGGAGCCACGTGCAGCGCTTTGATGGTGAGCTGGGGGCAGAGGGAAGCTCTGGGTGCCTGCTGGGCCTGGGGGCCCCTGTCCCCCACCTGTTTACCCAGTCAGCCCTGCCTCTGCGCGTGCTGCTCCCCCTGCTAAGCCTGCCCCTAGCTCTGCCCTCCTCTCAGGCTCACAAACAAGCTGGGTGCGCGTGTGTGCAAGCATGTGCCCTGCCCAGGACGCACGGCGGGGGCTGCCTGTACCATGTTGGAGTGCGCACGCCGCGGCATCCGTTCGCTCGTGTGCAGGTACAGGAACTTGTTGATCTGGGAGGAGGCGAGCCTGTCCCGGACCTCAAGCTCCTGCACAATGAACACCTGGCGGGACAGCGGCCGTTCCTCCAGCTCTTGGCCGGGGGCTGCAGGACCTGCGGCTGGCTCTGTTGGGTACATCTCATGCTGGAAGCTTACCTGTGGGGTGGACAGAGGTCTAAGCCAGGTAGACAGGGCCCCGAGAGGGAGGGAAGGGCTGGATACAGGTCCCTTCTCTCCCATCTCTGCCCCACACCTGCCTGCCACCCTGGCGCCTCCACGTGGCCACACTGAACTGTTGACCCCCCCCCCCCCCCCCCCTCCCCCCCCTGAACGGCCCCGGCCTGCTTCTTCTCCGGCCCTTTCCCCTTGTGCTCCCTTCCCCAGGGAGCCCCGCCCCCCCCCCCCCCCCCTCCCCCCCCTGAACGGCCCCGGCCTGCTTCTTCTCCGGCCCTTTCCCCTTGTGCTCCCTTCCCCAGGGAGCCCCGCCCCCCCCCCCCCCCCCGGGCCCCCCCCCTGGGCCCCCCTAAACTTTTTCCCCCCCCCCCCCCGAATCTATCTGCTCCCATTCCCACAGCCTTAGCCTTGCCTAAGTGGCACCCAAAGCACACACCTTGCTCCGCCCTTACCTGCCAACCCTCCATCACCAAAGCCTCCTCAAAATCTCTCTCAACTCCCTCTGCACATCTCTCACCTCCAGGGCTGCCACCTGGTCTCCCAGCTACCATCACCTCTCCCCTGCACCCTGGATGGTCCCCACGTCCTCTCCAATCCATTCTCCACACTCCCACAGGGATCTTTGTAAATCATTTGCCCACTGGCCTCAAGGGCCCTGTGGCTTCCCCTGCAAGCACCGTACCTTGGCTGGCAGGGCCCTGCCTCTCCCTCCAGAATGCCCTCACCCTTGCTACAGGTGCCAGCTGCTCCAGCCTCTCTGCCCCCTGAACAGGTCCAGGCTGCTTCATCTTCAGGCCTTTGCCCTTGTGCTGCCTTCTCCATGGAGAGCCGTGCCCCTCTCCCCGCACAACCGCTGGCTCCCCGTCAGGTTGCAGAGGCCCCCGGCCACTGCTCTGAATCTCACCTCCCCTGAGCTTTCTCCCAGCACAGCCTGCTGCTCCCTACAGCTTGTGTGCTCATCTGTCACCTACCTCCAGAGGGTCCTCAGGAAACCCAGCACCCGCCTGGTGACTCTCAGTAAGTGAGACCTCCCCCTGCGCAATCTCCCAGGCCCAAACCCTCTGGACCACTCTCTGTACCTCATTCACATCCAGTCCAGAGCCAAACCTGTGGTTCTTCCCTCCAGCCAGTATCTCCAGACCTGCTGCTACCACCCCGCACGGCCACACCGCCCAGTACTGACCACGGCAGCGGGCGCCCCCGTGACAGCAGCCTCTCCTCAAAGCCCCCCGTGGCTTCCATCTCAGTGCTGCACAGTGTGCAGGGCCCTCCACGAGCTGGGCCCCGCCAGGCCCTACTCTCCTCCCGTGCTCAGCAGCAGCCTCCAGGCCTCCCGGGAGAAGCCAGCGACGTCCCAGCTTACAGTTTTCATGCTCTTCCCTTACTCACTCAGGCCTTTGCCCAAATGTCACCTTTTCAAGAGGACTTTCCTGACCCTGTGTCCCCCCCTCCTGTTTTATGCTCCCTGGAGTATTTTTCACTGTTTCCCACACTAGATACATCTTAGTTGGTTTTGGCCTGGCTCCCTCCACTATGAAGGGGGAGTTTTGTCTGTTTTGTTCATTGCTGCACGTAGCAGCTAGAACTGCGCCCGGTGTGGGGTGTGACAGTGCTGGTGTGTGGCATGACAACCGCACCCCACACTCACCTTGCTGAGCTGGATCTCCATGAGGACATGGTGCTGCCGCCCACTGCCCCCCTGTGTACGCCATGAGTTCTGGGGCCGGTTGGGGCCAGAGCAGCGGGAAGGGGAGCCCCTGGGGCCCAGGAGGCCAACTCTTGCCCTGGGAAGAGGAACAGGGGATGAGCTGAATCAGAGGAACCCCCCACTGTCCCCAGAGCAGGCCTTTCAGCCTGGAGCAAGACATCCTCTCCAGCTGCAGTCCTGGGAGGTGGGCAGGGCGAGGAAGGATGAAGAAACTGAGGCCAGCAAAGGGTGGACGGGGCTCAAGGTTACCACCACGGAAAGGCAGGGCCAGCCCAAGGCGGGCCCTAATCTCCACCAGCTGCCACCTGCACCTCTCTTCCTCACCTGTGGCCAGGGTGGGGGCCAAAGTCTCGGCCACCGTACAGGTGCCAGACGAGGGAGACTTCACGTAGCACCACACGACTGCTGGGCACTGGGAAGTGGGCGGGCGCCCGCAGCAGGTCCGTGCTGCCCAGCGGCCGGGAGAAGTGCCCATCCCGCACGGTGATGGGGCCTGGGTGCAGCTGTGTCACCACGGGCTCCCCATCTCGGGGCTGCCAGGAGGAGGCCAAGCAAAGATGAGTGGCACAGATGCTGTCCCCAGTCCAGCCACCCCGTTTCTCCCCTGTCCACACATCTCCCTCTCCTCCTCCCCCCTGTTTCTGATAAGAGGTGACCCTCGGCCTACTATCCCCACAGCTTGTGTCTGAGCAGTCTGTCCGACAGCACCTTGCTCCTGGCAGCCCTGCCTCCCTGAGACCTTGGCGAGTTCGGACATTGCAGCAAAACAGTTCCCCATCCCTTCCTGCTAACCACCCCCTCCTCTTCCTCCAGCCCCCTGGACGTTCCAGTGCCTCTGCCTGGGAGGCCTCCTCTTCCTCTGGGAATCCACCTCTGAGAATTCAAACCCAGCATCAGGGCCGCCTCCCCAGGACGCACACGCCCGGCACCGCTTCCCAGGTGATGGCGCCCACCTCCTGCCTCCTTCTCTCACCACGGGAAGGGCCAGGCAACCACCAGTGGGCATCCTGGCCCCCACCCCAAACAGCTGCCCTTTAGGGCAGGGAATGGAGCCATGACCTCCCACCTCGTACCGGGATGCCCAAGCCAGGAGCGTCAAGGATGCAGAACTCGTCACTATCCAGAGTGTCTCCATCACCCTCCTCTTCTTTCTCATCTTCCTTCATCTCTGAGTGGGACCCTAAGGGGCCAGAGGGGCCCCCAGCAGGGGGCGAGGTGGGCTGGGTCCCACTTCGTTCACCTGGGAATAAGTAGACTGAGACGGGCGAGGCTGGAGGGAGGGGGCCACCTATAAGAGAGAGAGGCCAGTTTAGAGAGAGGTCTGCTATGGGTGCCTGATGATGTCTGCTGTCCCCAAAGTGCCCCCAGTCCACCTGAAGGCTGGGCCAGCTCCCGCAGGCTGCGCTCCGTGTCCAGCAAGGCGTCGGCCAGGTCCCGCTGGTTGATGAGGGCTGTCTCCACTGGGGGGCATGAGGGTAGGGAGGCAGGGCTCTCGGAGAGCTGGGACAGGCAGCGGAGGAGTGACAAATAAGTGACAGGAGGGCGGGGTGGCCCCAGGGATCCCCCAACGCCAGGCCCCTGAGGGCCATGGCATGGGAGGGGGCCTGGCCTAGCTCTGGTAGTCTGTGTGGCCAAACCTCACCTGTACCTTCTGGCCGGCGATCTCCGTGGGGCTGGGGGGCCGGGGTGGGGGGTGCAGGTCGCCCGCACGAAGGGGGAGTTTTGTCTGTTTTGTTCATTGCTGCACGTAGCAGCTAGAACTGCGCCCGGTGTGGGGTGTGACAGTGCTGGTGTGTGGCATGACAACCGCACCCCACACTCACCTTGCTGAGCTGGATCTCCATGAGGACATGGTGCTGCCGCCCACTGCCCCCCTGTGTACGCCATGAGTTCTGGGGCCGGTTGGGGCCAGAGCAGCGGGAAGGGGAGCCCCTGGGGCCCAGGAGGCCAACTCCCAGCAGGGCACAGGAATCGGCACAGCTGTGCACGTGCACCACGTTGTTGGAGCAGCGCAGCTCGAACAGCGGCTGGCTCTGTGGGCAGGGCAGGGCAGGGAGGGCGGCAGCATCAGCACAGACCCCACTACCTGCAGGGCCCTGCCCTCTCTGGGAGGGCGCCACAGGTCTGTACCTGCAGTAGGGAGAATGGGGCTGGGTGTTCCTGTGGGTATGGGGGAGGCAGCCTGCCCAGTAACCCCATTGAACACTTGAGAAAACTGAGCCCAGAGAATACAAGGGACTTGGCCCAGGGCACCCAAGAGAGCAGGAATGTACCCACTCCACCCCCATGCCCATGAAGGGCTTTGCACATCCAGTCTTTTTTGCCCCTTAGCTCAGTGCAGTGAGGCAGGGCCTGCTATCTCCTTTTTAGAGATGAGGAAACTAGGGACCCACCAAGACTGTTTCACTCCCTAGGCCCTGCTTTTGCCCTGGCTGCAGCTGCCCCAGCTGCCCTCTGGTGGCAGGGCTAAAACCCATTCATTCACTCAGCAAACATTGGGGGGGCACCCACGGGGGGCCTGGCCCTTCCCAGGAGGGGCGCAAACTGCAGCCCAGCAAGGGAAGGGCAGGCATTGACGGTAGCCTGGGTCCAGACGCAAGGAGCAGGCATGCAGGGGAGGGCGATCCCCCGAAGGCTCCTTCTGCCCCCACACCTGCTGCAGCTCCAGTGACCTTGGGTGACAGTCACACTCACCAGTTTACCCTCAGTGCTCCCTTTCCAGGTTTTGATCACAAGCTCCAGGAGGTCAACGTCCAAGACACAGACATAATCTGAAGCAGAAGGTGGGCAAAGAGATCCTTTGGCCTCCTTACACCCAGCCCCCGCCCCACCACCAGCGGGGAGAATTGGTTTATCTGGGTATGGCCCTCACACATGCGTGCCCATGTGCATGGGAGTTAAGAATCCAGGCAGCAGCTGAATGAGGACACCTGGCTGTTCTGCATGTGGTCAGGGGCTGTGGTCCCTCAGAAGACAGAGAGCCTAGCGCGGGCCCGCCTACCTCGCCGCAGATCCAGGGTCTCCACCTCACACTTGTCAGATAGGTACAAGGCAGAGTCGTCGAGGATAAACCTGGTGGGGAACAGGGCTGAAAAGGGCCCGGGAGCCGCTGCAGGCGGCAGCTCCGTGGGAGCTGGGCAAGAGTGGGGCTCCTGGAGACAGCAGAGGGGTCCTAAGCCCACAAGAAGCTGCAGTGATGGGCTCCCTCCCGCCTCAGTGTTCTTGACTGTACATGCCGTGGGCTCAGACAGCAGGCGCTTGCTCAAGGCGGGCAGCACTCATGTGTCTCCAAGTACTTCCAGCTCCACCACCTCATCTTGACCTCATAACAGTCCTGGAGGGGGTGTCCTTTCCCCCCATAACATTTACTGTCCTTTTAAAATAAGTCCTCACTGTAATTGTAATATAACATAAACTCCTTTGAGATCAGAATAATAAAAAATAATATTAAAATCACTCAGAATCTCTAATCACAAATTCTGAGAAACCCACCATATACATTGCCTTTCTCTTTCCAATGCAGCCACACACATAGATATATATAAACACCCCCTACTTTTAAAAACATATGTAGTTGTTTTTTTTCTTTTTTGTTGACTGGCCAATACAGGGATCGAACCCTGGACCTTGGTGTTATCAGTCCTACACACTAACTGATAAACATATGTAGTTTTATATCCAATCTCTTTCAGTAAACATTGTACTACCACATTTTTTTTTAACATTATTCTTCAACTTGAGTTTAATGTCCGCACAGCATCCCCCCCATTGGGTGGGCCACGTTTATTTACTCTGGTTGTGACTTGGGGGCATTTAGATTGTTTGTAAATTTTGACTTTTAATGAAATTACACTACAGTGGCATATCCCACCTCTCCTATCGTTATATCCTTCAGACAACCCCCAGAAGTGAGATTACCAGGTTAGAGAGCATGGATGCTTTTAAGGCTCTGATTCAGAGGGTCCAACTACCTTCCAGGAAGGTGGGAACAATGCACGTTCCTGAGGGAGGACACACAGCAGGTAGGCAGCTGCAGCCCGGCCGGGGGTGGGATGGACCAGGAGCATGGGGGGAAGCCTGCATACCTGAGCAGGAAGGTGGAGGTGTCCATGATGATGTTGCTGGAGAGGGTGAAGGTCTCAGCAGTGACGAGGACGCGCACAGGGAGATAGAGTGGCCTGGGGGTCACACTTGGGCTGGGGCAGGCTCCTTACACCTGAGAGCCTGCCCTAGTCGAGCTGCACCCAGTCCCTAGCCCACCTAGCCTGGGTACCTGTAGTCCACAGCGCAGGAGAACAGGTGTGTGTGTAGGACGGTGATGACCGTTGGGGGCAGGTATCCCAGCACAGGGTCATCCAGCACGTCTAAGAACTCCAACAGCTTTAGAAGCCAGGGCAGGAGGGGGCAGTGAGGATAAGGTGGCCTCTTCCCTCCTCTAACGTCTCCCTGTCCTGGCCCCTACTTGGCACCCCACCTACTGCCCATAGGTGGTTTACCACACCCCTTGTCTCAGAGCTCTGGCCAAGGTCAGCTTTGGCCCAGCCCACGCCCCTCACATCAGTCTCCTCCCATCCTGAAGACCTGCTTGCCCGAACCAGAAGTCCAGTACCTCTGGACCATGTGAGCTCCCAGGCCACCCTTGCTCACCTGGGAGTGCCAGCTCTGTTCAGGCAGGGCCATGTAATGGCGCAGGGTGGCTTTGTGCAGCCGCAGTGTCACCAGGAACTCCTGGGGGTGGAGGCATAATCAGGGCAATGGAGAGTCCGGCCCCACCATGCACAGGGAGTCAGCTGCCCAGCCACGGGGGTGGTGGCACGCACGGGAAGCTGTACCTTGACATTCTTGTGGGGGTCCAGGTGGATGCGCACAGCAGTGGACAGCATGTGGGGGCCCTGGCCTTGGCCCCTGTGGCTTGAGGCTCCCCGCTCAGTCACCCCTTCCTCTGATGGGTAGATGGTTGCAGCCATCTGCCCAGCCACGGGGGTGGTGGCACGCACGGGAAGCTGTACCTTGACATTCTTGTGGGGGTCCAGGTGGATGCGCACAGCAGTGGACAGCATTTGGGGGCCCTGGCCTTGGCTCCTGTGGCTTGAGGCTCCCCGCTCAGTCACCCCTTCCTCTGATGGGTAGATGGTTGCAGCCAGCTGGGCCGGGGGAACAAAGCTGGGCAGCTCCAGGTGACTGGGCAGCACGTAGTCATCCACAGCCGCTGGAGAGGGGTCTTGTGAGCCCCCTGCCAAGTCAACTGGCCACCCACTCCACTCAGGGCCCCTGTCCCTCTTGAAAGCCCTCCACCCCACCCTAGAAACCCAGTGGTGACCAGTCCCCAGCCCTCACACCTCGGTGGTAGAGTGTTGCCTTTTCGGCTTCCAGGCAGAAGTAGCCGAGTCCCGGCTGGCCGTGGTACTGGGAGACACTGAAGACGGTGCCGTGCTCCATGTCTAGCACCAGCTCCCCGTGCGCAGCCTCCAGCCGCCTCCCACCCTCATCCTGCGGACAGTGCACACAGCCTGGCTGCACAAGCTGCATGCGGCAGCACCCACATCCTCGGGGTGAGGTGGCTCCAGGAGCCCTGCCCTGACAGGGGTCAGTTCCAGCTTCTACCACTGATGCTGCTGCAGACCCTGGGTAGCACTTCCTTCTTTTGCCAAAAGGGAAAAAGAATCCCTGCCCTGTCTGCCTCCTCAGGACCAAATGATGACCATTCTGAACCTTAGCATGAGCTTTATGTACAGCAGGTGCTAATAAGTGACTGATAGGGTGTGATGGGATGCGTGGGCTGCTATGCATGGATTGGCGGGTGGTGAGTGGGTGCTGTAGGCTGGACAAGCCACCTGGGCCTTCTGTTCTCCACATTCCCGACCTGGAGCTGCTCACGCTTCTCTTGCTTTCCTACCAGTGGGGGCCCTAGAGTTAGGGGCTCACTTGCCCAGGGTTGCCCTTACCTTGGTCTCACAGAGGGCTGTGATACGACCCTTCAGCACTGTCACCAGCGTAGAGAAGGTACTCTGGGAGTGAGTGCTTGGGGGCTCAGGAGCAGGGGGTTGGGGGGCCCCCGATGTCCCCACTGAGAAGAAGTGGGTGTCCTCGTCATCCGACTCTGAGTCTGGGGTAAGATCAAGGCAGCAGGTGGGAAGGAGACCTGGGAGGGCTGGCCTGGCCTTGCCCAGATCTGGGGTGGGGTCATCCTTCCGGCCCAGCCAGAGCACCCCTCATACCCAGCTTGAAGGCCGATTTGCACATCTTGAAGTTGTCGTGCCAGAAGCCCGAGGGGCCCGGGAAGCCAGGGGGATGAGTGGTGGGGTCAGGGGTGGGAAGCAGGTCCGCAGGCTCCCACATAAGCAGGTCATTGTTGATCCTGAGACAGGCGGGTGGATGGCAGAGGTGAGGGAGGCCAGAGCCAAGCCCTGCGCCCAAGCCCTGCCCAGCCTGTGTCTCCACCTGTTGTAGATACTCTCGTAGACCTCCTTGCTGGGCAGGAAGACGTGGGCACTAGGCAGAATCACTTCCAGGCTGCAGCGAGATAGTGCCAGGGTCCGGCTCTGGAACGTCCTCATCTCCTCAGGGTCTCCAGGGATCACCATCTAGACACAGTGAGGCAGGGAAGAGAATCTCAGCAGAAAGTCATCTTAGTGATGCCAGGGCCTATCTCTGGCTCTGGAATCAGAGAGACCCAGGTCTGAGTCCCAATCTCCTATCATTCACTCCCTCACTCATTCATTCACTCATTCATTCATTCATAGGTACCCTTCTCCGCTGGGAACGTGATGGCCATCTGGGACACAGCACTGATGGCATGCCAATTCTGTTCTAGGGGCTTCATGTATGTTAACTCCCTTAATCCTCACAACAGGGCTATGAGACAGAGGTTACTGTGCTCACTTTCCAGAGGAGGAAATTCATCTGTAGGTAACTCTCCAAAAGGTTAGGTAACTTCCCAAGGTGACACAGCCACTGAATGACAGAGCCTGGATTTGAATCCGGGCAATGTGGCCCCAGAGGCCAGCCCTTTAACTGCCTCTTACTCAGCCCTCATCACCTTCAGAGAAGAGGATCCCAAGGCCCAAGTGTACACTGCCAATAAACAGCTGAGGTGGGATAGGGTCCTGACCGTCCTAACTGAGGACCCATGCTCCCCCAGGGGCCTGCCTTCACCAGTGAACTTCACTCCCGGCCCCATGAGCGGGGTGCTTCAGACTCCCTCATTGACAGGAAATAAGGGAAGATCACTTCTCAGCCTTTTGGCTACCTGCCTTCACCAGTGAACTTCACTCCCGGCCCCATGAGCGGGGAAGGGTGCTTCAGACTCCCTCATTGACAGGAAATAAGGGAAGATCACTTCTCAGCCTTTTGGCTAAGACAAAGTGGAAAGAAATAATGGAAAAAACAAAATCCTCACCAGTGTTGGGAAACATCATGAGCACCACAGGTGGTCCTGCTGCCCTGGCCCACAGCCACACAGGTGGTTCCCATGGCAGAGACCGGGGGTGGGGGGCGTGATCTAGGGAAGAGGCAGGGCCAGGCCTCACCTCCTCCGTCTCATACATGGTCCTCTTGGAAGAGAAGGGTGAGGGCTCAGGCTCCCGCAGCTCGCACGGACTCTCAGCCGACATCTCCAGCTCCTCTCCCTTCTCCGGGGCCACCTCCCACTGTGTGCTGCTGGACTGGGGGTTCAGGGTCACCACTACCCTGCCATGGCACAGACCTGTCACTGACAAGCAGGGCCCCCAGCACCTGGTCCCAGGCTGGCCTCCTGCCACCCCCAGCAGCAGAACCCTTCTCTCCAGCTGCCCCTTCCAGAGCCCCCACTTACTGAGGCAGGAAGTACTTGTGCTCAGTGCTCTTGGGATCGAGGGCTTTAGAGACACGCAGGCAGGGGACAGGTGGCTTCTCTCCATCTTCATAGATACCTGAAGGAGATAGGGAGGGGTGGAGAATTGTCATTGCTGCCTCTTCCATTTCTTCCCCAGTGCCAGGGTGGGTCAGACCTGTGCCCCTTCCCTGCTACCATGGTTTGCAGTGGCCCAGAGATGAAGGGTTCACTCTGCCTGTTGTCCAGAGGGGGCCAGAGACATGCAATGCTGGTGCTCTGCAAAGCTGGTATCTACCTGAGCCAGGATCTGCTCCAACTGTGACCCAGGCCCATCTGTAGCCCTAAGTCCACCTCTCCCAGAAGCCCAGGACCCGTGCTGCAGGTGTTGTTCCCCAGGGGGCTCTTACCATGCAGATCGGAGCAGGTGAGTTCCAGGCGGGTGGGGGTTGGGGGGCCAGGCCCACTGCTAAGCTCTGACCGGAACTGGGGCTCACTCAGCTCCAGCCGCAGCTGCTCAGCCCGCACAGCCCCACCCGCCCAGGGGTCCCGCTCGGGCCGCAGGTCAGCAATGGGGAAGCGCAAATGCAGTGTGGCCCGGGGTGCTGAGAGCCGAAACACCATCTGCTGCTCAGTTGCTGGTGGGGGCTCTGTCTGCAAGAGGGTCAGGGGGATCAGAGCTGCCACAGCCAGGGCTCCTCCCACTTTGGTCAAAAGCCAGAGGATCCGCACTCTGTTCCCCACCCTGGCCTGGTCCTGGATGGGCATCTTACCAGCAGGCTGCTAGGTGGCTCGGGGGGTGTGGTGGCTAGGTGCAGCAGCGCAGCAAGCCGGTCCAGGGCCCCCAGCTCCACATCTGCCTGGAAGTCGGCGAGGTCCAGGGCCAGTTCAGAGTGGCAATGGCGGGCAACTGAGCGCCGGGGCCGGCTCTGAGGGTGAGTGTTCAGGTCAGTGAGGGTTGTGGGGTGGGTGAGAGGGATTGGAAGGGGCCTCCTTAAGCAAAAACCGAACCCAGAGCCCTCCTGGTGGTGGGAGAAGAGCCTGGGCAGGGGACACAGAGGGAGACTGTGGAGAACTTCGCCATCCTGCCTGAAGCAAACAACATGCTTGTTTATTTAATAAAAGCCACCCAGTACTTGCCACTCCCAGCCCCAGAGGCCCAGCAGGGGGTTGCCACGTTGAGAGAAAGAAAGGGGGCAACCAGGCTAAGAGAGTGGCGAGGACAGGGACAGAGGTGTGTATTCAGGGGCCCTGGAGTGGTGAGGTATGGCCTGACTGGAGAACAGAGTCCTGGGGAATGGGGGTGGGGAGCAGGGGAGACAGTGGCAGAAGCCAGGGTGAGTGCGACACACCACGGGAAGCAACCCACAGCCTCTAGGCCTGAAGTGAGGGGTGGCTTACCTTGGGCACACGGCGCAGGGTCTGTGTGTGGCGCAGGTGGGCACAGGGCCGAGCTGAGACCTGGGAGCCCAGGTTACAGGGGAAACTCAGGATCTGCGATGGGATATGGAAGGTGAACAGGGTCAGGCCTGGTCCCCACACCCACCTGAACCTCCAGGCCCTGCCTCACGCACACTCTGCTTCTGCCCTCACCTCCGTGTACTCAGGCTCCGAAGTGCCACTGGGCCACAGACACTCCAGCACCTCAAGCTGCCCAAAGTGCACTTCTGTGGCGGTTGTCCGCCGACCCCTACTGCCAGTCCGCAGCTCCCAGGCCAGCTGCACAGCTGTGCCCGTTAGCCTGTAGGAAAGAAGATGAGCATCAGAGGGTGGGCTAGGGGGGCTCTGGTAGTCCTTCCTCAGGTCCCTGCCTCAGGCTCATACCGGACATGGCTACAGGGACAGGCCCTCTGGAAGCGTGGCCGAAGGTGATGGAAGTCGCGAGAACCGAAGGGCCCATCCTTGGTGGCATCAAACTCAGCAAAAAAGTGGGTGGCGAGGTCAGATGGTCCGGAAGATGGGGCAGACGTCTGAAGCAAGGTCAGGGTCACGCCCCCCAACGTCATCTTCAGCAGCGTGTCAGGGCGCATGGTGTCCGGGAGGGGTGTGGGGGCCATCTTGCCTGAGGGGACTGAGGCTTCACCAGGGGCTCCCAAGAGCTCATGGGTACCCCAGATAGAGTGACAGCCAGCCACTTTTGATGGGGCTGGAGGAAGCCCTGGCCCAGCTGGACTGTGCGGAGCCAAGCCTGTCCCATCATGTGGCTCTGGCAGGGGGCTTGGCCAAGCAGGGGTGACACAGAGTGTCTCCTGTATGTCAGGCCCTCTGCCCAGGCTCGGTTTAACCCTCAAGGGAACTGGAAGGACCGGATGTAATAAAGCACCCAGCCCAGTGCCTGACCCACAATAAGATCTCAATAAATATTAACCGAAATATACAGCCTGGCAAAGTCTGATCTTATGGTCCCCATTTTACAAAAGAGGAGAGTGAGAGAGTTTAAGAGCTTAACCAAAATTACTGACTCGGAAACCTCAGCTCCGTCCACTGCATCACCAGCTTCTCTCAAGTTTGGTCCCCAGGGAACCAATGCCTGGAGGATGGTGTACCTCTAGGCATTGCTGGGGGCCTCCCGAATGCATCTGACATCCCACCACATTGAGGCCTCTTCCAGCCCTTCCTGACCCTGGAGTACTGCCCGAAGTGCCCCAACTCACCAGCTGGGTGGGCCTGGGCAGAGAGCCGGCGGGAGGCCATGTCACTGTGCATAGAAGAGCCCAGGTCTACGTCGGAGAAGGAGAGCTCAGAGAGGGCTGAGGCCACACTGCTTGTGAGGCCAGCCATGGAGAAGTAGAGGTCTATGGGTAAGGTTAGCAGCATCAGGGACAGCAGGCTTGGCCCCCAGACTCCTGCACCCACACTAGCTGTCCCTCCAACCCGAGTCTGGCCCCATACCCACCAGTGCTGTCCAGGTTGAGAAGAGGGTTGTTAAGGGGGTCCAGGCTCAGGGGCTCAGCCACAGCCCCTGCTTGCAGCTGCTGGTTCAGGTCCTGCTCTATCAGCCACAGGTCTTCAGCACCTAGCGGGCGGCTCTTGTTCAGCTTGTCAGCCAAGCCCTCGGGTTCTACAGGGGAAGATACTTCAGTCCAGCCTGGCCGGCCCTCTCTAGCCATCCCACCCCCTGGACCACGCACAGGCCTCACCTGTAAGACTCATGGCGCTGAGTAGTTCTTGAAGCTGCTGGAGCTGCCGTGGGGTCAAGAGCAGGTGCAGGGAGCCCAGCTGTCCTGCCACCTCCAACTGGGGGCCGAGGAGGAAGCCATGGAGCCTACAACTGCCACCCAGCCCCTTTGAGAGTTGCCACCCACCTGCCCTCACCCTGGGGAAGTAGGAAGCCAGTTCTCAGGCTAAGCTCTGTTACCAACTACCTGTATGAACCTGGCCATAATTTGACCTGTCTGAGCCTCATTGTTTCTAGTTGCCAAGAAGGCAGTAATTTCCCCCACTTGACATCCCCCCTCCCAGCCTGAGGATGATCAGCATTGCTGGGGAGGTTCTAGTTGCCAAGAAGGCAGTAATTTCCCCCACTTGACATCCCCCCTCCCAGCCTGAGGATGATCAGCATTGCTGAGGAGGAGTCTGAGATAGGACACATTCTCCTCTCTAGGCCTGGGCACTCACCTTGGGGCCTGGGAAGGCCTCATTCTGCTTCAACTTCACCATTAGTTCCATGTATCCTGAGCAGCTGCCAATCTGCAAGGGGGACTCCGGAGATTCTTCCTGGGAGGTGAGAGGATATAAAAGGAGAGAGTTGAGAAAATGAAGCCAGGGATGGTCAGAAGGGATGGGAGGGGAGTCACAGGGTTCAAGGGATTAGAAGGAGAAAGGGATTGTGGGAATCAGAGTCGGCCCACCTGTTGGGGGAGCTCCTCAAAGTGCAGGTGGACCCCTGCCAGCTGCAGCAGTTTGTGCAGGAAGGCAGGTGGCTGATGCACGTCCACCGGTGGTGCCTGGCTTGGGTCCCGCACTGACTCATCACAGTACTCCAGTCTGGGGAGTAGAGGGTCAGCCCTTGCCCCAGCCACCCCAGGCCTGGAGCCCCTCTCTCCACCCAGTGCTCTGTCCTAGCAGCATAGGGTCGGGGAGCCTGGTCTGCAGAAATGCCCCATCATACTAGGTATCCTGGATCATCATGTCCAGCTTGGGGGCTCAGGCCAGACCTGGCTCCTCAGACCTTCAGCATCTAACCTGATCCTTAGGGACCTGGCCACTCTGGGCCTGTACCTCCGGGCCCTTGGACACCAGTCCAGGCTCACAATACAGAACACCTCCCCAACCCAACCACCACCTAGGCCCACCCAGACCTGCCCTACCACTTCCCAGCAGGCTAGGCTTGGGGTACGGGACAGGGGCAGGGCCATACGTCAGCTTCCGCTTAGTCCCATCTGTCCCTACCTCTGCACGTGGACCTCCACTGCCACGCCATGCTCCCCATCACCAGGCGAGTGCTCCACCCTCACTACAGTATCCAGGAAGGTCACCTTGATCCTCCGTAGCACTGAGGGTTAGGGAAGGGGTCTCAGGTCAGATGGAGCAACAAGGAGGGAGGCAGTTTCCCATCTGGGCAGCAGGGTGGCCGTGCTGGTGTCTGGGGCCTCCATCCTGTGAGCCACAGAGAGGAGGGGGGCAGGATGGCTGGGATGGGCCTGCTCACCAGTCTCGATGGTCTGCGCGAACATCTCCAGCCCTTCCAGGGGCTGTGGAGGTTCGGAGGGCTCAGGCAGCCCATCCCTCAGACACTCTTGGGCCAACTGCAGGCTTGTGGTCATGCATGAGGCCCAGCTCTGTGAGTCAGCAGCCCCTGGCCCTGTGGGGAGGAAGAGGGTCCCACAGCAGGCAGGCTCAGTCAGCTCCTGGGTGCTCAGGCCCACTCCTACCTGTCCATCCCCTGCATTACCCTGCCCTCACCTGGGCCCTGGCGGGGCTGCAGGGTAAGCTGGAGGCCTGACACGTGCACAGTGCAGTGGTCGGTGAGTAGCGCAGCCCAGGGCACAGCAACCTCGATGGAGCCCACAAAGCCTTCCACCAGCACAAGTGGTGACTCAATCGATTCCAGCACCTCGTTTACAGACTGGAAGCAGGCAGGGGACAAAGCCAGCTCAGAGAAACCCCAAGTCTGGCTGGCTGCCACAGCCTTGTTTGGCCATTCCACCTTGGGGAGCACCCTCAGCTTTCCCTGTCCCTCCACATGGTACCTATAAGGTCCTACCTTTGCTCATGCTGTTCTCTACTCCTGGCCCTTCTCTTCACCCATCATCTAAAGGGGCCCAATCCTTCAGCTCAAATATTTCCCTCTCCATTCAGTTCAAAAAAATATTTACTGAGCACCTTGTATGTGCTAACCCTGAAGCTATATGGGTAAATAAAATGTCTTCGTTCCCCAGCCTAGCCAGGCTCCAGCCAGGGACTAGCATACCAGGTAAGCAAGCACTAGGGAGTGGGGGTGGAGGGGCCCACACCTGACCCAGCCTGGGCCGTCAGAGGTGGGGAGAGCTGAAGGATGAGGAGCAGGAAGCCAGATGGAGGGGATGGATGGTAGTGTGTTCCAGCACGGAACATGTGCAAAGGCCTGGCAGAGTGCAGCCGCACCCCATGTCCATCCTGGGTAAGCATGGAGTTCAAGGGGAGAGTGTTCAGGAGAGGGGGCTGACCTGAGGCTGGGTGGGATGATCCAACCACAAATACTTCGTGTAGCTGTACCACCCTGAGGCACAAGGCCAAGCCCCCAGTTAAAACATCTGTGCTGGAGCTGCACCTCTGCCAGCCTGAGAGCTCCTTGAGGGCAGCAGCCCACCTGCCTTTTCCCTGTGACCCCAGGTGTTCTGTGTGGTGCCAACCAAAGAGGACCTCAGTAAACACTTGTTGGGTCCCTGAATAAACAAGCACATGTGAATAAATAAACATAAGGAAGAATTAGAAGGCCCATAGGGATGTAGTCTAAATTCCTCACCCAGAGACCCACAGATGGGGAAACTGAGGCCTAGAGAGAAGGGACTAGTCTAGTCACCCAGTGTACTGTGGGGACTGAGACTGGGACCCAGGCCTCTCTTCTCATCCCACCCCAGAGTCCCCAAGGCACTCACTTCTTTTGGGACTGCAGGTGGGGTCTGCAGGCCCAGCAGCTGGGAGGAGAGGCTGGCTATTAAGAAAGCAACTGCACCCGCCAGGGGCCCAACACCTCCTGCAGGCTGGCCTGGAAAGCAGCCTACCTAGGAGCCAGTTCAATCTCCAACAGAAGGATCGGGCACAGAGGAGTGGGAGTGCTTTCTGGGGCTAAAAGTAGACATGGGCAGCCTAGAGGTCTGGGCTGTCTAGGCTGGCCTAAGAGCTCAGGTCAGAAGTGAGAGAAGGCCTCTGACAATGGAATTCACAGACAACAGGCTTCTGGGAGGTACACCCAAATCAGGGCTCAGGGCTCTCCCCTCCTACTCCCCATTTGCTCATTAAGGCCTGGCCTACCCCTAAAGCCCAGCTGTTCCTGCCTGAGGCCAGCCAGAAATCTGAGAAGCCCCTGCCCCCATGCCCACCCCTGCTGCTCTGGACCTGGAGGGTTGACCCAGCCCTGGGTTGGTGCCTCTAATTGGTGGCTCCTTCACAACTCCCCAGGTCAGCTGAGCTGTGAGTCAGGGCCCCTGACCGCCCCCAGACTCAGGCCTCTGACCCAGACCTCACTCCTCTTGGCCTCTCTAGCATCTCCCTCAGCCTCCTCCCCGGGTGAGGCCAGAACTCCCCCACCTTTCCTAAAGGGCCCGCCTACAGGGATGCTGACCCCCAAGTCCCTCCCTAAACATTCGTCTGGTCCCTCCTACTTTCCCAAAAGCAGGAAGTAAACAGTCGCAGCAGTCGCACGAGGTGTTGATCAACGCGGGTGCTGACGCGGTTGTTGACATCTACATCCGGAGGCGAACCCCACCCACCGGGCCCAGGATGATGGGGTCAGGAGGTCAGGGCACATTTTCCACAGGTGCCCTCACCAGGGCTCTGAACCCCTACCAGCCTTCCTTGATCAGCTGCCTCGGCCCCAACTCTGTCGCTGCCCTGGCCCAGTTCCACCGGAATCCCCCCTCCTCCCCGTTTCTCAGCCTTCTCCTCACACCGTCCTTAGCCCCTCGGCACTACCCCGCTCAGCTGAGCTCCCAAACTCGATGTGCTTATGCTGGCATTCTTCAGATAAGTGACACCCCCTCTCCTGACTCAGTTTCTCCTGCTGTGAACTGGAGACAGGGACCCCTTCCCGCCCAGCTTCTGGCTCAGGTAAGGAACTGAAGCGACCAGCCAGGGGTGCCTCTGCCGCCTGGAGAGGACGGACTGCCCTGCCTCTCCCTTTCGCCAGGAGCCTCGGGTCACAGCGCCCCCGCCCTCCGCACCTTCCTGGGCTCGGGCCTGGCTCCTCACCCAGATCTCCAGATGGATATCCCGCAGGGCAACGCTGCCCTTGTACAGATCGAGGCTGAGCTGGTCCAGGCTGAGGTGCTCCTGGAAGAAGTGACCCAAGTAGTGGTGCAGCAAGTAGCGGCAGACCCTCTCTTTCACACAGTTCGACCATGGCCACAGCCATCGTGACATCTCGGAGACTGCCGGGCCCTAGCCACCTCCTCTCTCCGCCAGCCGGGGACTCCCGTCCGGCTGCGCTGTTCACTAGAGCCCCCGGCTCACTCCGCCGCTTCTCTCGGCTCCAGGCCGCGCCCACAGACACCCAGCCACGCCCCCCACGCTCACTACCATTGGCCATTGCAAAGGACAATGCCTACTGATTGGCCGTGGGGGGCGGAGCCTTCGGGCGCGAAAAAGGGACTGGGCTCTCTGCACGACATAGTGCTCCCAATCATGATTTACGCTTGCGTATAAGTACTCTGGAGGAAGACCTTTAACCTCCCTTCTACGGGCTCGGGGAAGGCTGTTGATTGAGTTGCCAATTCCGCAAAAGAAAGCGCATGTGCCGACTCGTCCAACCGCTTTAGGTGGTTAGGGAGAATTTAAAGGAATAGTGTCCCATCAAACTTCGTAGAAGGCTTCCCAGAGAAATAAAGTCAGTGTGAGATCTGCAGCTCGCATCTGTGCAAACAATTAAGTGGATAAACGTTTGCATTTTACAAAACGCTTTACCATGCTTTATCTGATTCAATCCTCTTAACCCTGTAAGGTCGGGATTATTGTCACCACTTTACAGGTAAGAAAACAGGTTTGTAAAGGTTGCTGAGTCCATCACCAGGTCTTTTTCTCCCTCCTCACCACGGAATGCCTCGGAGGCGACTAATTGACCCTCCCTTGTCTCTGCAGTTGGTCAGGCCTTAGGGCCTTCTCTGGAATAATAACAGTTTTTCATATCTCTCATCCTAAAACCAATAAAGAATGGATTCTACCTCCTTTGAGCTGAGATTCATTGTTTTTGTACAGCCTGTGAGCTACAAACGGTTTTTACGTTTTTGAATGGTTGGAAAAAAATCAAATTAAGAACGAACATTTCATGATGTGAAAATTGTATGAAATTCATATTTCAGCGTTTATAAATAAAGTTTTAGTGGAACACAGCCATGCTCATTTAAGTACTGTCTGGGGTTCTTTCCTGCTACAATGGCAGAGTTGAGTACTTGAGATGGAGGCCCGCAAAGCCTAAAATATTTATCTTCTGGCCCTTTACAGAAAAACTTTGCCGACCCCTATGCTACAGGGTTGGCCCCACAAAATCTCTTACATCATGGGGGACTTAAGGGATACCCATGAGTAGTTATGATTCTATTTTAGACTTACTAGGGAGTTGAACTCTATTGCATTCTAATGCCATAAGTCAGCCAGGGGGCAAGGACCCAGTCCTAGCTCTGGGTGGCCTCAGGCAAGTCACTCCTTCTCTGTGACCTTCAGTTTTATCCCCTGTAGCCTAGGGTTAGGTTAGTAGAACAGCTCATTACCTGGAAGGGACTGAGGAACAGCCTTCAAGACAATTTGGGAAAGGTTAGGAAGGCCCCATGCAGGGAGGCAGGCTGATATGATGGCCATTCAGAAAACGCTTGTGGAATGAATTAAACGATTTGCCTGTCCTCCGTAACAGGTCAGGGGCATTGCTATGCTCATCAATTGTTAATTAATAATATTGAAAATAATAGACACCATGAATTGAGGCTGTGTTATGTCCTAGGCCCTGGGCTTGTTACTTCGCATGGATTTATCTCATCTGCTCCTCACCATACACTCATGAGGGAGGCACTATTAATATCCTCGTTTTATGGGGGCTGGCCCGTGGCTCACTTGGGAGAGTGTGG